ATCAGCGCGTACATCTTGCGGCCTCCCTGCGCCGCGATTTCTTTGACGAGCGAGTGCGTATCGGCGCTGACCTCACCGAAAGCGCCGATGACGATCCCGCGGATCGGCTTGACGGTGTTGAGCTTGGCCTCGATCGGGCCGATGCTGGCGTTCGGGCCACATTCTATATTATATCATAATATTTCTTAGTATTGCACCCAACCGAACACTGTGCAAATGATGGTCTGGCTTCTACTCTTCCCCTATCCCTTCTCCAGCACCCTACCCCCCCTATCCCCCCTACCCCTCCCAGGTGTACGTGCTCTCTCCCCCCCTAACCCTCCCCCTGCCCTTGGCCCTTCCCCCCTACCCCTACCAGGTGTACGTCCTCTTCCCTTCGGCCAAGGCGCAGGGCCTCAAGTGCACCTGGTCCAACGTGGTGAAGCTCTCCGAGTCGCTCTACAACGAGGCGCCCGGTATGGACATGTTCCGGCCGAGTCAGGAGACGCCCGTTGACAACTTTTTCCTCGCAGGCTCGTACACGTACCAGGACTACATCGACTCGATGGAGGGCGCCACCAAGTCGGGCCTCGCGTGCGCGGAGGTGGTGCTGGCCAACGCCGAGAAGCTCGCCGGCATCGCGGACGAGCTCCAGGCAGCGCGCAGCTGAGCAGCAGTGCGGCAAGTCGCTTCTTGATGCTCGCCTGCGCCCCCGGCCTGGGCGGGGTACGCCTTTGGCGAACTCGCGAGGCCCTAGCTTTATAGAACTCCAGCGCCTCGTACGCGCTGACGAGCGCGGCCTCAGATGACGGTGGCTCTGAGTATGTATCTATCTCATTCTTATTTTGAAATCGGGTTGCAATTGTAGTAAAATGATTTGAAAATAGGCCTCACGGCGACATTTTTTCGGACTCACGATCTGATCGGGGCGGTTACACGGAACGATGGCGGCCCGTTCGTTTGGAGCGATACGACAGCTGCACTCAGCGGCTCGTGTCGAGTGCAGCCAGCCAACCCCGGTGACAAAACTCGCGGCCGTTCGTGCAGGAGGACCGCACTCAATAAGCCATGGCCAAGGGGATCTGCGCGCGCGCGCGCCGGCGCTCATCCGGAGGCGGCTACGAGGCGCAGAAGGGCGGCACACAGAGCATCGTCCTAGCTGCTGCTCGGCAGGCGCGCGAGGACGAGGGCGCGAGCCGGTACGCACCGGTGGGCATGCGCCTCGAGTGATGCGACGACCACTACGAGCAGCGCGCCCTGAAATTGGCGGAGGAGGCGGCTGCCGGGGAGGTAGCGGCGAACGCGCTGGTCGATGCTGCGGAGAAGCTAGAGTGGGAGGACCGCCAGCGCGCAGAGTGGAAGCAGCGCACGCACAAGTACGAGCCCAAGAGCCGTGAGCTCAGGGTAAGCGCCCAGCAGGCCTCTGCGCGCACCGAGCTGTTGGCGCTCATCGCCGTGGTGGATGGCAGAGCCCCCGATCCCGTGGTCTCTAAGACGGTGGCGCGCATGGCGCAGTGCGACGCCCTCAAGTTGGCGGCGGTCCTGCTCGACATGTTCGAGAACGTACGGGCGCCGCGATGATGAAGGCGATGGCCCGAACGGGCGGGGCTCTCTGTGGGCAGTGGCGATATCCGACCTCACCCGTCGCCAAAAACGAGCTCTTCAAGCGCTGGAGACGACTTGTCTTCGTGGCGAGCTTCGCCCTCTTCATGACGCTGGCGCGGCCGGCACGCCTCAACTCTGCCACCAGCTCCGGCGCGTGCCACCCTTCCGCGCCGGCCGCGCGCGGCGTATATTTAAAATTAATGTCGCTTGTGGTCTCTGCTAGAATTGCAACAACCCAATCGCTAGTTGAGTAGTAGTCGGTCCGACGGTCCCATTCCTGATAGCTGCTGAGCCCGATCCAATTATACAATCCTTTGACAAGGACGTGGGCTGCCTGCATCCGGGACCGGAGCCATAGCTATCTAAATAATTATATAATATATTATTATTTTATAAATATTATGCTTGCTAGTACTAAGAGCAGTAGCAATAGTTAGATCTGGTGCAACCGGAGCTATTAAATGGGCTACCGCAGCGCCAGCGTACGGCTACCAGTTACCACAGCGTTTATTAAAATATTAAATTATAGTATTTATGTGATTAGTGAGAGAGCTCGGTCACGCGTTAAGCTGTTGTTGCTGCTACCACCCCCAGCCGGTGAGGCTGCCAGCGCGCTCCGGGCGCGCACTTTCGCCTTCGTGTTCGCCTGCTGCCGGCAGCCCGCACGCCAGCCAGTTCTGGCTTGGCCGCACTTGCATTGCCAGGAGGCCATTTCGGCGAGTTGTTTTTGGGACTCGGGCTCGAGCGGCAGGCACCTAGCCCGGCGGTCATTGGGCGGCAAGCGCGCCGTCTCTGCACAGTGCAGCAGCGTCTCTTTCCCGTCTGCGCAGCGCTCGCTCAGCCCGCCTTTTAGCGCGCCGATCCCAGCTGTAGGATGATTTTAGGAGTGTTACAACCTGGATCATTTAAAATTTACTGAGCTGTAGGAGTGTGTCCGCCGTAAAGTTGTACTGCGTTATCAAGTGCTGGGCTGTGATCATAAATTTTAGTTGCATACAGTAGGGCAAGAATCAGTGTTACAACCTGGATGATTTTTTTTTTTTCGCTCGAGTCCGATAATTATACGGGCATGGACCATACCATGCATAGGGCAAGTAAAATTAAATTTACTGTAACTCTCTTTGAAGTTCCATGGAGTAGTGCGTGTGACGGGTGTTACCTAAGGCAGAACCATATAGATAGGGCAATCACTTGTGCACTTGCCATCGTCAGCCTCCTGCCTCATCACCTTTCCAAGCTGCCACTTGCTCAGCACCGTCTCGCCCTTGGCCGTCCCGAGGCTGTCGACGCAAATTGCCACCTTTAACTCGTGCGCCACCGCCTTCAAAAAAGGCAAGTGAGGCGTCCAGACGCAATGGAAAATTTCCATGGAAGCGTGGATCTGCTCGAGCGCAGCAGGCACACGCCCCGACCCTGGCACGACGAGGTGCAGATCGCCATTTCCCCTTAGGCCTCACGCCTGGTAGAGTGCAGTGCGATCTGCGTAGTAGAGATGAAATTTAATCGGGGTCCAGAGGAGCACATCCGGTCGTGCGAGCACGATGCGCTCGTACGCTGTGCCTCGGTGTGCCGCGTGCGTGCGTGCGAGGCGAAGGGAAGTGGCGATCGACGTCCACATGCTAAGCGTGTGCTCGGTGATGGGTAGGTCACCGAGTTCCCACCCCTGTGCGCGGATTGCGCACCCAACTCCAAAGGCATTGAGCTCGAAGCTCGCGGCTTCCGGCACGTACGCTGATATCATAGCGCTCCGAACGCTCGGGGTAGTCACACAGGAGTACACGAACACGTCGAAACCGCCCGGGTTCGCCTCAATGAGGTGCTTCTGGTACGCCTGCGCCCCGGACCGGACGGGCACGAACTCGGAGGCGTCGACCGAGTCGTCGATCAGACGCCAGCGCGCAGGTCCAGACCACCGATTGAGGCTTCCGAAGAGGCAGAGCGCGTACGCGCCGTTGGCCGTGGCGCCGCCGAACCGCGGTGCACCGGCCCCGCGCGCGGCAAGCCGCGCGGCGCGCGGCGTCACTCGGGCAGTCCAAGTGCGCGGACGCCCCCCGCAGCTCAGCGGACGCAGCGATGGGCTTTCCGAGCTTGGCGGCGGGCACGAGGAGGGCGGCGAGCAGCGCGGGAGCGCCGCAAGCCATAGCCGCGGAGCTACTCCCTTGAGTCACTACTCCCCTGCAAACCAAACCACTCAGTTTAAAACGTAAATTGTTTAATCAAACCTACTGCAGAATCACATATTTCACAAGCGGTTTGTGATCCGCTATGATCTCGTGATCTATTATAGGCCCTACTTGTTTGTGGTCGCATGCGCCTTGAGGGTACACGCCTTAGCGGCCCTGTAGCTGCAGCCCGGCTCGTCCCAGCTATTTGCGCATCAACGACTATGGTCGATCTGCGTCACACGGGCCTAATGCTGTGGTTCTTGGGCGGGGTGATGCTGTGGGTACTTGCTTCGATTCGGGAGAGACATGTGAATCCGCAAAAGAATTCAAGGAACAAAGCAAAAGGGTAAAAGTATCCCAAGAAAGGCTTGAACTTCCGACCTTCTGCGTGTAGAGCAGACGTGATAACCACTACACCATTAGGACAATCATTGACACAATGTGAAAACAGGCTTTTTTTAAACAACTAAAATCTTATGTATTTCCATGCGAGTGGGCGGCGCGCAGTGGCAGGGCGCCCTCACGCACGTGTCCGAGCGCACGGTGTGGGTGGACAGCTGGGCGGGCGGCGCAGACCTCCTAGCGGATGAACCTCGGCGGGTAGACCTCTTTGCGCGTTATTCCTCAGAAGCCTAACAACTACTCGACTACAAATGTTTTGATGTTATGTTTATTTATGATAGGGATTCAAGCTGGCGTCTGACTGTTCTGAATGTTGTGCTGGTCTGAGCGCTGCGTCGCCCATTGCCTGCTGCGTGCCTTAGTCGGCTGCGCTGGCTTGGGCGCCACCGCGCGTGCCGATGGATCTCCGGTAGTGTGCCCGGGCAAGGGCGTTTAGGGAGATGATCTGCTGGTTGCTGTTTGTCGTGTTCCCACGCTGGGCAGCGATCGGGGCCAGCGCGCTCAAGCGCGCGAGCAGCTGCTGCGCATGGCCGCGTGCCGCGATCGTACCGATCGTGTCGATGAGCTGCTTCTTGATGCGTGCGGTCGCCTCCATCGGACTCACGCCCATCAGCGCGTACATCTTGCGGCCTCCCTGCGCCGCGATTTCTTTGACGAGCGAGTGCGTGTTGGCGCTGACCTCACCAAAAGCGCCGATGACGATCCCGCGGATCGGCTTGACATCTGCGGCTCAGCATGGTTCAACAGGTGTTGTTCAGTCACTGGCTTGGTCGACGTCAGGCTGAGGTCGAGCGATCGACCCAAACCCTCATGATGTTATGTAATGATGCCAATTCTTTCTACCGCCTGGGGCGCAGTTTCTTTTCCAGGTGGCCCCTGATGTCAGCGTCTGAGAGTGAATATTACAGAACTATGTGTGCGGCGTGCCTGTCGTCGATGCTCCGGCGGGACGGGAGCAGTCAGCAGGCTCTGTTTGCGGAATGGCATCCCCGACCCGAGTCTTGACTCGAGTCTTGATCTACTACTTGAGGAACGCTAACTACTATCGCCTGCGCGCATGTCACCGTTGGATCTCACGTATTCAATTGGCACCGCGCGCACTGGCACCAGGAGCTAGATCCCGCAGTGTCGCCGGAAGGCTTGTGGCAGGGTAGGGGACGTCACAGCGCCGCTTAGACCGCCAGGAGCTAAGTTTCTCAGAGTCAATCAACAGCACGGAGCGACCACCAGCCAGGCCCAGGCGGGCCAAATTCTATCTCGTATTAAGCCAAATGAGTATATATAGGAAATGGTGAAAGCTTATAAGCTTAGTTTTACATACTTAAAACGTACTATGTAATCTCACATTGATATTTACATTATGATAATTAATCAACATTCAACGCGCAGAAGCTATGTAAAGCTAACAGAATCATCAGAGGTTGCTGAAAGCGGACATCGGTGACAGTCCGGTGAGTGAGACTGGAAGCACACAAACGTCCCCCAATCAAATTGAGCGCCCGAGCGCGCTCATTTGTCCGTAGTCGGCGCGTCGGCGATGGGCGCAGCCGCCGCCAACAGCGGCGGCGCGCTCGGCGGCTTGCGCAGCAGATTGAAGGCCTCCTCGAGCAAGTGCGCCGCGTCCGCGCTGCGGCCCGCCGCACGCGCCTCGCCGGCCATGCCGAGCGCCGCCGCCGCCTCGTCCCGCGCGCTGCCGCCGAGCAGCTCGACCGCCTCCAGCAGCGCCGTGCACGCGCCCTCGTGCTCGCCCGCGGTCGCGAGCGCCGCCCCCTGCCGGCCGGCGTGGGACGCACGCGACCACGCGGAAAGCCCGAGGAGCTGCGCGGAGGCCGCCGCCTGCTCGAAGAGCTCGGCGGCGCGGGCGGAGGCGCCGAGCGCCACGTGCGCCACGCCGAGGTTGGCGAGGTGGTCGTCGCGGCCGGCGTACTCGTCCCCTGCCTCGGCCACCAGCGAGAGCGCCGCCTGCCCGCGGGGGAGGGGGGGGGGATAAGTTATTTATTTGGGTTGGGGGGGA